AGTCCATCAACCAACCAGCCAATCAACCAACTACCCAACCAGCCAACCAACAATTCAGCCAATCAACCAACTAGACAAACAAACAAACAAACAAACAAACAAACAAACAAACAAACAAACAAACAAACAAACAAACAAACAAACCACTATTTAACCATTCAGCCAATCAACCAATCAGCCAATCAACCAATCAGCCAATCAACCAACTAACCAACCAACCAGCCAAACAACCAATCAACTAATCAACCATTCAGTCAATCAACCAATCAGCCAATCAACCAGCCAATCAACTAACTACCCAACCAGCCAACCAACAATTCAGCCAATCAACCAACTAGCCAAACAATTAAACAAACAAACAAACAAACAAACAAACAAACAAACAAACAACTATTTAACCATTCAGCCAATCAACCAACTAACCAACCAACCAGTCAATCAACCAATCAGCCTATGAACCAACTAACCAACCAACCAAAACCCAACCAACAACAAACCAACCATCCCGTCAACTAACCAACCAATAAGCCAATCAACCAATCATCTAACCAAAACCTGAACAGGTCTCCAGTCCATCACACGGATACATAGAGACAAACAACCCCCCATGCTCTCACTCACAACTCACAACCAATTAGTCACCAATTAGCCTAACATGCATGTTTTAGTCTGTGGAAGAAAAYCCAAGGGTGCACAGAGAGAACATGTAAACTCCACCCATACGAAGACCCCAGGCCTGGAGATGACAGCTCTAACYACTGCACCACAGGTCCACTGGTTCTAAAAATACAACATAGCAGCTCCTGGGCTCAGCATTCTCAATAATGGAAGAATGTGAGGTTGCGTCAAAATTTCTTTTGATTTCCTTTTTCAGAAAAAGYGCCGTATACAGGATGGCTATCACGAACACTGACTCAGAAGTCAATTTACTACTAAAATAGTTAAATAGAGGTTTTAGCCTTTGTCAGATCCAAAGTCTGCTGTAAAATAATGGTCTGGTATTAAACTGCTTGTTTCTATGAAACCGTGATCCCTGGATAGCAGCGTTTGGTTTTGTAAAAAGAAAAGAAAAAGCCTTGAGAGCTTCAGACAAAGCAATGAGTCAGTTGAACACTTTCTGTTGCTGTGCTGTCAGCCTTCACAGRATCTTGGCTGCAATCAGCTTTTTCTATTGCCATTTAGAAAACACACACTCAACATCTCACATATTGTGAACCACAACTCTTTGTCAGCACGCTAYTAACTGCCCTCACTCCTTGACCAGTGACAAAATGAAGGTCATTAAAGGTTTATTACCACCACCCCTTTCAGCTAACACTTTATCCATGCTTGTTTGTCCTGGATTTATCGTGCTGTACAAGGCCTTGAATACACTTTAACACAAGTACACAACTTTTTCATTGTTTTTCATTTGTGTGTGTGGCTAACCTAAACAACTAGCAAACCATCAGCCTTCTTGATTTAGCCTTTCTCTATTGTACTAAATTATATTTGCATGTCTCACACGGTTACATTTATTTGTTCATTCAGACAAATTTATTGGATATAATTGTGTAAAAAATGATAAAAGTAGCTCTTATACAAATATCTGAGTGTTTGTAGCAGGGATGCTAATTTGCAACGTGTCCTTGGCAGGGCTTTTAGTGATCCAATAATTAATTTTGAGGGAAAAAAAAGGTTAAACGAACAGTATCAAAATATAYGGAAAATGAAACTAATAAAAAATGGCACAAAAATATTTGTTGAATCTAGAAGTGTAAAGCTGTGAACCTAACCTGTTTAGTAAGCATTAGCATTAGCATAAAACAACATGCTAAACAATGTCAGTTTTAAATTTGGTGCTTGCTGAATTCAGTGCAAAAAGTGTGATGCTGTGTTCACACCGAACGTGATTTCAGCATCAGGAGCATCAGGTTTACATACAAAGTCTATGGTGGACGCGCTTCAAGCA